AAAGAAAGCGCTATACTATACCCCTCTGCCAGGGGGCTGAGAGGAAGGAACAGGTTTACTAGGTGGAAGGGAGAAAAGAAAAACATTCCAGGTATAGGCATAACAGGTACAAAGAGAATGAAAATGAAAGAACCTGAGTATTCAAGAAACAGTAAAAAGTTCAGTGTGTGTAGGGGTGCCTGGCCAGCTCAGTCCATAGAACACACAACTCTTGATCTTGGGGTCATTGAGTTCAATCAAGCCTCACATTGCATGTAAAGTTTACTTTTTAAAAAATTTTAAATAAAGTCCAATGTGTGTAAATAAAATAACACAACCAAGTGCTAGTAAATGCTTCCTCATTCTACTTTCCTAAATAATCAATACGATTTATTAAGCTTTCATCATGGAATGTTTCTAAAGAAAATATAAAGCCCAACTTTCACTAGTAGAGACAAACACACATTTAAAAAACATCACACTGGGGCGCCTGGGTGGCTCAGTCGGTTAAGCGTCCGACTTCAGCTCAGGTCACGATCTCGCGGTCTGTGAGTTCGAGCCCCGCGTCGGGCTCTGTGCTGATGGCTCAGAGCCTGGGGCCTGCTTCCGATTCTGTGTCTCCCTCTCTCTCTGCCCCTCCCCTGTTCATGATCTGTCTCTCTCTGTCTCAAAAATAAATAAACGTTAAAAAAAAAAAAAAACATCACACATATTGAGTACTATCAGAAAAAGAAATTCTTGGGGCGCCTGGGTGGCTCAGTCAGTTGAGCGTCCGACTTTGGCTCAGGTCATGATCTCACAGTTTGTGGGTCCGAGCCCCGCATCAGTCTCTGTGCTGACTATTTGTTCAGAGCTTGGAGCCTGCTTCAGATTCTGTGTCTCCTTCTCTCTCTGTCCCTCCCCCACTCACACTTTGCCTGACTCTGTTTCTCAAAAATAAATAAATGTAAAAAAAGAAAAAGAAAAAGAAAAATACTAGGCAACAGAAATTTAAAAAAAAAAGAAAAAAGGAAAAGAAACTCTTCTCCCAACAGCTTACTGTCAATAAATCATACCCAAAATCTCGTACCTACCAAGATACAGGCTACCTAAGTATTTTCAGTTAGTTTCCCCATTCACCTGAAACCAGTATTTTCACCGTGTTTTAAAAGTTTTCAAAAATTTCAAAAAGTGGGAAGAAAACCAAATCTTCTGTGCACACTTTAAAAAGGGATTAAAAAAAATTAACTTCCCTTCCTTTTCTTCAGCTTAAAACGGAATAATTTCCCAATCATGAGGATTAGTAACGAGCTTCACTAAATTGAGCTGTAAAAACAATAATGGAACTCTTTTGAGTTGTACCACTATATGATCATTTACTAAAGTTAGAGCCTTTAACCCAATAGTGTACATCATCTATTCTAGATCAGTCTCATTTTTAACCCGAAGTTTTGTAAGGAGAGGAGTACAAATATTTTACAGTTCCAAGGATCTAAGTTCATGTCTTTCTCATATTTGCTCTTCACAAAAATCATTAACATTAATCTCAAAATCAAACAAGCTGAAAAGCCTAGAATGCTCAGTAAAACACATTACAATCAGCTACAAGAAAGCTACAGTGAGCAAAGCACCTGCCTATCAAGGTTACACTGTGACTTATTGCAGTGTAACAGAGAAAGGAGGTAAAAACTACTTGCCTTTAGGATGTCTTTCATTATTTATAAAGTACAAAGGTCACATGTTTTCTTCCTTTTTTAAAATACGTTGTTTTTGTTTGTTTTTTTTTTTTTGCTTTGAAGACTATTTTACACTGACAACATATATAACATCAATTTTCTCCAATTGTCTAAGTAAACAAAAAATGCAAAACCTCCAAGTACCTAATGAAAAAGCACTTCTCATTTCCATCATATTATCTTAAATCTTGCCCTTATACAAAAGTGTTAGTTAATGCTGACTCAACAACTTTGGCCAAGAGCAAGGTTGTGTTGTTGTTGTTTACTTCCGGACCCTTCAAACTTTGACAAGAGATTGGTTTTCTAGCAGCCAAAATACATGCCAAATTAACTGTTTTGTGTTACTCCTTCAAAGAAGAAAAAAAAAAAAACACCTTTCATGTATTTTCAAGGTAGAAATGAGTGCCTTCACTGATATAAAATTTTCTACACAAAAAAGCAAATGAAAAAATCCTAATGCTTTTTGACAAAGGTACAATTTTCAAAACTTGTAAGCCAAGATATATAAGAACTTAGACATACCCATATGTTCTCTTAATTTTAAAATTAATTGTTACTTTAAATCTTATCCTTCATGAAAGAAATTGGATAAAACAAAGGGATGAAAGAATGCCAAAATTAAGAACTAAAAATTCATAAAGCTGAAAATGAATGAATTTTAAGCAACAAAAATAGCTAAACAAGTAGTTGCAGTTTACAGAAAAGGTAATAGTTTTAGATTCTCTGAAACTAAATCTAAGTAAGAGTTTTAAAGTTTTGTTATCAATTAAGTCCTGCTTTATACATAAAACTTTTTAATCCTCATCAAATGCAAATAAAGAGATTAAGCATTTTGAAAATCTGTTTTGGTATGTAGTTTTCTAATTCAATTTTTTTAATTAAAAATAATCTTTTGGAAAATACTCATTCAACTTTTTCAATATGTATAGTTTTTATAAATCACACACAAAAAATTGCACTTTTGTTTTTGCACATCACTGATTTCAAGACTATTTTTAAAATAAAGAGGGGGTGAAATATCACCAAGATATTTCTGACAATTTTTGTACGTTACAATTTCACTCTAAAATTTACTCTCAAGGGGTGCCTGGCTGGCTCAGTCAATAGAACATTCAACTCTTGATGGCAAGGTCATGAGTTTGTTTAAGTCCCAACTTGGGTGTAGAGTGTACTAAAAAATAAATAAAATTCTCTCAAATCTAGAACTGATAAGAGTGAAACAGATCAAAGAACAAGCAACTGTACCCAAAAGAAAATGAATTGAAGTTCCCTAAACAATAATGTTAATTTCAAGTATGATCCCACAACCTTAGACAAAGTAGACATTCCAGTATGTGATCAATCAACAGTGCACTAAACAGCACTTTGCTTAGAATTTGTAAGGCAAAAAGACACTCCAATTGAATGCAAACCACCCAAGAATGAATGACGTTTGACTACCAATACATCATACCGCAAAATGAACGGAGTTAAGTAACACGTACTTGATAGCTCTTCTAATAACTTTGTTTTAAAAAGGTAAGTCAGAAATGGAGTATTTCAGTAACTACAAAGGAGTACTTAGTAAATGAAAAAGCATTCCCTAGATTTCAGGGGATTGACAGTTCCTTTAAACCAAAAGAGAAACTCCCTATCTTGACAGTAAATACACAAATACTAACATTTTTTAAGTCTCCTTAAAATAAATAACAAGAACACTATTTACAATGAAAACAGTCAATCTTCTATGGAGACATCATATGACCAGTACAGGAATTTATCTACCTGAGAAGAATAATGCATTTAGACACGGATTAGAAGTATTAAAAGATTTGATCCAAGTTCAAGTTACAATTTTATTTCACTTTTCTCTTCATCCCTCTGCAATGAGTCCATCAAGTTACAAATTTAAATTTCAGCAGTCACTAGGTTGTAATCACAAATTATTTCTCTTTCACAGATTAAAAAATCCAGGCTGAGATGAAATAGAGGTGATTCAATCACACTCGCCTAACCTGAAATGTAGGAAGTAATCAGTAAATTACTGTGAAATGCTTTTTATTCAAACATGCTATTTTGCAAACATACTTTAATAACAGCATGAAGGTAATAAGATTATGGATACCTGGAAAATCTGTATTTTTAAGCCAAAAGTTAACGTGTATAGTCTGACAAGTATTACGGGAACGGTGGAAATGAATATTTAAAATTCAACTACCCCAGAAAATTCTAACACATGAAGTCAATCTCCGTATTTTTTAGAATCAGGTAACAAGTATCATTACCGTACAAAACACCTGCAAGTTAAGATCACTAACTCCTTCACTCGCTCCTCTCCTCTGTTAACTAATCCTTTCAGTCGCCAAAAAAGTTACTTCCCTTTCTACCTACGTCAAATTAAGATCCTTCTCAGGCAATTTCCATGCCCAGGGTTAAATATCACCAATACAAATACATAAGTTGTCAATAAGCACCACATAACTAAGTGTTCAGCACACGAAAGGAATTCACCAATGAAAAAACATGACACCTTCCTCCCTAACCTCCCCCCCAAAAAGCCATTTCATTAGCTTCACAAACATTTACTGCTGAAGTATACTCTGAGCGAGTGGTTCGATGGGTCTCCTTCACCAAACCCTAACTAGGAAACATAACCAATCGTCCGGACTCTTTCAGACAGTCAAGATGATTCGGAGAATTATTAGAAACTGACGTCCGCAGGATCAGGAGTTTGAGAGAAAGGTAAGCAGTGTACTCGCAGGTGAGTTGGGGGTAGGGAGGAAACCCTGAAAATCGGAAACGAAGTTGGTCGGAAGGTTAGAGAGGCGAGGCCGATGTCCGGTTCGGAGAGGACGCCACTGCAGGGCAGACAGCGATTAATTAAGCATTTGGAAGAGCTAAAGAGAGTTCTACGAAAGACCTGACCCGAGTACAAGATACAAGAACGCTGATATACCGCTCAAAGAAGACACGCGGGGGTGGGGCCCGCCCCGCTAACCCTGCTCCCTGAATGAACCCTCAAAAGAGAATCGAAGCCCGAGAAAGTCAATGGGTCCAAAGGAGGCCCGCACCGGCCGGGCAACGCCACAGCACAAAACGCAGAAGCGTGCAGAGCCTCCTGGTCTGAGGCCTCGGGTCGGCCCTCAAGAAAGTCGGAGCAGCCCCTGGGGCTCCGGGCCCCTCCTGGGCCAGCCTCTGTCCTCTCTTCTCACCCCCAAAAGCCTAGAACCGGACTCATGAGATTGACAGGAAGCTTCCGGCCGAGCGCTCCCGGCAGGCGCGGGGCAAAAGGAGCAATATGTCCTTAGCGCCGCGAGTGACACTCACCGGCCCGAAACCTCGAATGAAACCAGCAGCTCCGGGGGCGGCGGCAGCAGTGGCAGCAGGAACCGAACATCCAAAATGGCGGCTCCCTCGGCCTCACCACCGCTACTGCAGGCGGAAGGATCCTTTTAGGAAGGAGGGAGTTTTTAACTAACTTCAAATACTATCGCAAAAACTTTGGCCTCTATCTCCCTCTCCTAGTCGATTCCGTCTTCCCTAGACGTAACTTTTTGTGCCTCCGCTCTCCTACTACCCAAAAACTCGGACCCCACCGAGGACTATTTGCCAAGGAGGAGGTGACTGCGCCTAGCAGAGCGACGCAAAGCGTAGCAAGGTACGGGGCGGTCACTGATGACGCGAGACGCTGCTGCCGAGTCACCGCTGCGAAGAGTCTGAGAGAGAAAGAGCCGGCTGACCCTGGAAGCCTACGAACTTTGGTTCCGCTTGCGGGGGAGGAGGAAGCTGAGCTACCAGGAAGCCGCGGGGCCACCTGAAGAGAGCCGAGCTATCAAGGTATAGAAAGACGTGGGTGAGGCGAGGCAGGTGGGGGCTGGGAATTAATACAGAAAAATCTCGAGCTGTTGCCAGTCGTGTTTGAAACTTTAGCTTTCTCTAGGCTAACTTCAGGAACATGCTCCAAGCGGTCTTGGAGTCTACAGTTTTATAGTATCTTTGCAAGGTGTTTTTTAGAGTTAGAGGATGATACAGAAGAATATATTTCAAACGTAGGACAACCGCTCAACGTCCTGCTTTGGATAATCATTTAAACTCTCAGGGCCTCAGTTTCCTCGTATGTAAAAACAAAGGATTTGGACTAGTGAACGCTAAAACTCTTTAAAGAGTGGGCTGTGTCTCCATAACCAATAACCTGAGCCAAAGACCGTCTACCCAGACATTACCTGGCTTGATAAATAATTATGAACACCTAACATAAATATTTTCCACGTGAACGGTGAAAAGAGCCGTGATATTTTGGCTCATTTAAAGGAAAGGTGACCCACCTAAACTAAAATCCTTCACGTAGATTGGCGGCAAAGAAGTCCTGAAAGTTAATAAAGCACAGCACCTGGCGGGATGCCAAACAGAACTGAACTAACCAAATCTTAAGTTTAGAACCTGTCATAGGAGGTTGCTCTTTTTTCCTCAGACAGCCACTTTTATGCAGAGATTTCAAAACATTTTACAAAAATTGAATTCAGGAGCACAATTTTGCTCTTGAACTATTCGGGCTTAACAAGTGACAAAGGCCAGGGGGCGTGATAAAGTAATTATCATTTACTATTATTAAACATTGATATCACATTGTTTATAAAAGCATCTTCCTATGTGTGACCCAGTGTGACCCTCCTACCAACCTCCTAAATCAGATTAGTCAAGGATAAGTAACTTAGTTTTACAAATAAGGAGACTGAGGCTCAGAGAAACTATTAATATAGAAACCCTCCCTCCCCCCTCCCCCACTCTGATTCAGCTATATGGTGCCACTTCCTGAATTAGAAAAGAGTATACACACACACACACACATTGACTCCCACACTCAGGGTGGAATCAACCCAAATGGTCTGGGGAGCAGAAACCTCATGGAATTCAGTTGCCTCATCTCCCCCTCAATGCACTACTGTGCAGTGCAACCTTGGATCACACAGCTTGTAGGTAGTAGCATAAAACTAGAACATAATGATGTTGCAAGGCATATTCCTCTGAAGTATAGCTAGGCATGAACACATGCTAAAGAACAGTTTTGGACTCCCTCAAAAGTAAGGAATTTGCAGGTCACAAAGCAATTAAAGTATTTTGTTTGCAACATCACAAATATTTGTTTAGAGGTTGAATTTAAGTGTTTATACCACTGCAAACCACAAAAGAAAAATTAAACTATTCTTAAGAAAGAAGAAGGAACTTTTTTAGTACCATGCCAAATGGCAGAGCATTAAAGAGAATACAGCAGACATTATGAGATGTAAACCCCCTCCATGTTTCTTTTTTACTTTTATTACCTTTATAATTACCAAACTCCTCCTCCAATGAAACTAAAAAATAGGGGCGCCTGGGTGGCTCAGTTGGTTAAGCGTCCGACTTCGGCTCAGGTCATGATTTCACAGTTTGAGTTTGAGCCCTGCGTCGGGCTCTGTGCTGACAGATCAGAGCCTGGAGCCTGCTTCGGATTCTGTGTCTCTCTCTCTGCCCCTAACCCACTCACATTCTGTCTCTGTCTCAAAAATAAATAAACATTTAAAAAAAAATTTAATTCAATAAAAGCAATTGACTTAATATATAGTGTGGACATCATTATCCTAAGAGTTTTGCTTTCCGTGGTTAGCATTTAAAGGTTAAGAAGACTGGGGCGCCTGGGTGGCTCAGTCAGTTAAGCGGCCGACTTCGGCTCAGGTCATGATCTTGCAGTCCCTGAGTTTGAGCTCCGCGTCGGGCTCTGTGCTGACAGCTCGGAGCCTGGAGCCTGCTTCTGTGTCTCCCTCTTTTTCTGCCCCTCCCCCATTCATGCTCTGTCTCTGCCTTTCAAAAATGAATAAGTGTTAAAAATTTTTTGAAAAAAAAAGTTTGGGAAGACTTACTCCCCATCTAATCAAGCATAATCTCTAGTTTCAGGTAGGTTACAGCACATCAATAAAATGGAGTACTATGCTGCTAATAAAAATGAAGCTATAGCTCTATCTTTATTATCATGGTATGACAGGTGTTTTTGAACATTACAAAATGATTTTATAATAATATTGCAAAAAAAGCGTATATATACATAGAAAAAAGTTGAAGGATAAAACTAAAATGCAAAAATGCTTATTTTTGGATGGTGGGATTATATAGGATTTGTATGTTATGATGTTTTGTTTTTGCAATGAGCATAATGTACATTTTGGGAAAAAAAGACTTACATTTTGAAAAAAAAAGTTTTTACAAAATAATGCAGTTTTATAGATCCAAATGTTAAAGGAGCTCTTTGTTTTTATTTCTTTATTTTAACATTTATTTATAGTTTTGGTAATCTCTACACTCAGTGTGGGGCTCAAACTCATGACCCTGAGATCAAGAGTTACATGCTCGTCTTCCGATGAACCAGCCAAGCACCCCAGGAGATTTTTGTTTTTAAAACGGCAACATCCCAAAAATTAACTAAACTTTTAGGAAGAGAGAATGGCTGGGAGAAAAGATCATTATTTTTATAGTTTTGTTTATTATTGAAAAACTCATATGCTCCAATTTAACAAATAATAACAACAACAAAAAACAAAACTAAAGATGCATCAGCCAGGAGTCAGACATTCGCATGCCAGTCCTGGCTGGGTTACTAACTTTGTGCTGTAATCAGGGTATTTAACATCTCTGGGCCTGTTACTTCAGCTGGCCCTGAAGTATTTGAGAATAAATACTTTATAAATATTAACATACATTATTTAATATATAAATATTATGAATGCTTTCTTTATGACTAGACTTATTCCAAAATGGATTTACAGTGGCTTAATTTCCAGAGGGATCAAATGTGTGAAAACACTTTGAAAAGTATGAAGGATTTTGCGAACATAATTATAAAACAGTTTTTATGCCACCATACAATTCATCTCAACCATTTCTTGATTGTCCACTACCAAGTAACAGTAGTGCATTGTGTCTTACAATTTACAAAAGTGTTTTTATATACAGTTATTCATTTGCTCCTCACCTGTCATGAGCTTGTAAACCATGCGGGCATTATAGCATAGTAGTTAAAAGTGTTGGTTTCTGGTGCTAGACTGCCTGGGTTTAAAATGCTGCTCTTCCTTGGGTGCCTGGGTGGCTTAGTCAGTTGAATGTCCAACTTGATTTTGGCTCAAGTCGTGGTCTTCTGGTGCCTGAAATCGAGCCCTGCATCAGGCTCTGTGCTGATAGCTCAGAGCCTACTTGAGATTCTCTCTCTCTCCCTCCATCTCTCTCTGCCCCTCCTCTGCTCGAGTGTGCTCTCTCTCTCTCAAAATAAATCAACTTCTTAAAAAATTTTTAAATGCTGCTCTTCCTTTATTGTATGACCTGTAGAAAATTAGTAAACATCTCTGAGGATTTCTGAACCTCAGTGTACCTGTCTATAAAATGGAGTTAATGAGAGTAGTAACATTGGCACCTTAAGGCTGGTATAATAATCAAATGAGCCGATACACTTAAAGTACTTAGAACAGTGGCAGGCACGTGGTAAGGGCTCAATAAATAGGAGATGTCTTTAGGATAAATATTATCTTACTTTTAGCATAGTTTCCAGGTAAGAAACTTGGCCACTATCACTGCTCTGTGTGCATACCGCCTCTGTAAAAGCTTACTGCAGAACAAGTGCTGAATGCTGTTTTCACTTTTTACTTTTGTGTGTGTTTGTGTGTGTGTGTTTAATTTTTAAAATTTGTTTAAATGTTCGTTTAATTTTTGATAGAGACAGAGCACAAATGGAGGAGGGTCAGAGAGAGATGGAGACACAGAATCCGAAGCAGGCTCCAGGCTCTGTGCTATTAGCACAGATCCTAATATGGGGCTCAAACCCACGAACTGTGAGATCATGACCCGAGCTGAAGTCGGACGCTTAACTGACTGAGCCACCCAGGTGCCCCTTATTTTTTTT